GGACAGACGGACATGGCTAAATCGACTCAGCTCGACATTCTGATCATTTAAGTATACATTTTAATGGGTCTATCTCTTCTTATTCTGGTACTTACAAACATCGGACCAAAGTTATAATACCATTTCATGCTCATGAAAGGTATAACTACTATCAGTTTTATGTCACATCGAATTTAAAAACAATTTATGTTTTCATCAGTTACAGCGCTCTTACACAATGTGTATACCAGGGACCGTAACGGTTATAACTTTTGTTAAAAAAAATCACTTTTTAATCATTATTAACTGAGTTTTATTTTTTTCTCAAACCATAACGATTATTTTTTTAGTTTTATTTTTTTCACACATGCACGTGTTTGCGAATTGGTGACGAACTGATTTTGTATGGAAAAACATTTATGCCCATATATTTGAATAAAATAAACGTACGTAGAAGATATCAGCTAATACTCCCCATATACCAAACGAAATAAAAAGCCTGAATTTTTGATTAAAGAAAACAAAAACAAAATCATTCGAGCGGTTTTCGATTATTTTGGCATTAAAAAAAATTTGCAAATTTTTTCAACAATTTTTTGACTTTAAGTGCTCGATATTTGTTGAATTTATATAAAATTTATACACGATAATATTTCCACTGCTCCAAAGAACCTATATCCCGAAAATTAAAGTTATATCTGCCAATCATAAGTTGCTAGAGCACTTTAAAGGCTGAAAATTTACCCCAAAATAAGCCAATATTTACCGTTGTTTCTACGACAGACACCGAATCAGGGACTTACATAGATATATATGTCGATAGGCTTGGAATTTTGTCTTTGAAAGGGCGCAATTTTCTTTGAAATCATTCCATTAGTTCTCGCGCAATAAGCAATAAGTTTTCGTGAAGCTCTAAAAATTACAACTACAACATTTGAGCATAACCTCCATATCGAAACGTAAGACGTATTCTACATCAAAATAAAAATCAGTGCCGCTGAAGATATTCCGAGTAATAAGAAATATGTATATTGGTTTACTCCTTATCACGTAGCATTTCCCTTTCAGAGTGATTTTTTTACTTTTCTGGTGCGTTCTAATATATGGTACATACGAGTTGATAAAAAAAGAGCATTTATATATGCAAATACATATCGTGTAAGAGCGCTGTTAAAGGTGCTTTATATGCATATACAAATGAACATATTGTACAAAGACTTATGCTTCTGTTTCACACATAAGCTACACTTTTCCAAGTAAATTTGCGAAAAAGCAACACGGTGCCACTGCTAAGGGAGCGGTGCAAGAGAGGTCTGTTTATCGAGCCCCTAATTATTGAATCATGAATGCTACCGCAGCTTTGGTCTTGTGAAATCATATATTTTTACAATTTTACACAACTAAAGCGCGTTCTAAAAATTTAGTATGTATTAAAAAATTAACTGCTCTGACGGTTTCTTTTATCTTCCTATTCGGCTTTATTTGCTTTTACTTGAGAAACGTCATCGTCGACAGGACGGCGTAATCTTGTATTCCATCATTCTTGACTTTTCAATGAGTAAATATATAAAGACAGACTCATCTTGATGGAGTGATGGACAAATGAGTTTTGAACAGGGTCTAGAAATTTCGTTTTTATGTTTTTAGCTATCGTACGAACTATATTTTTATAGAAAAAAATTCTGTGTGAAAAAATATTTTCTAAGTTTTATTACTGCAAAAAAAATTTTTGGTACCCTCGAAACCGTTTTGGTACGTTTTTTGGTAGGGGAAAAAATTGTGAGTGGCAACAATGCACTCAAACCAGTGTTGGCAAAATGTTAATCTAGTTAACGATTAACATTTTAATCGCGATTGACTATTAAAATTATTTAATCGAAATCAACTGTATGATTAATGATTAAACTTTTTTTAATCGTTAATCGCTGGCGGCGATTACGATTAATTAATTTTAATCATTAATCTTTAATCCAATTAAAATAGTTTGTCCGAATTTGGAACCAAACACCAGTTGTAGTAACTATTTTGTGTTTTACGCTTACAAAAAAACACATAAAATAAAAGAAAAATTATAAGTATTGTTATTAGTAATACATAAACTGGGAACTTTTACAACGCAGCGCACATGTGCAGAGGGATATTGAAACCTAGTTTGTAAAACGTATGTTGGTATAGATCTAAATGAAAATGTACACCAAATTTCTTAGATTGATGAGGAAACCCGACATAGCCATACCCGACTAACTGGCTTAGTGTGCACAGGTAAATTCCAGAATAAATTAATTAATCATCAAAACTACTTAATCAAATTAAGAGTTAATGATTAAAAATTAATTTTTTTTAATCGTGGTTACGATTAATTGTTTAATCAGATTAAAATTAATCATGATTAACTCTAAGCGGATTGAATTTAATCGAATTAACTAATTGATTAAAAAATCAATCGATTAGTGCCAACACTGACTCAAACGAAGCACCTCTTTTAAGTAAGTAAAAAGTTTACTTCCGGGCACAAAGACCCTTACTTATTAAAACATTTGAAAGCGAACTCCAAATTAAATGTAATTTTAAAATGAAATGCAAAGAGTTCTTTGAATTGCTATTCAAATATGTCTTTAATATTAAATAATTTATTGGCTCCTGTGTACAATGATACTATAAAGGTATTCTATACTACATATTTATTAATGTGTACATTCATGCTCAAATGAATGACATTTTTATTGATTGTGAACTATGCACATTTTATTTTTATACCAAAATATTATTAAAAACAAGTGCTCTGGCGTTTTAAAGTATTAACTGTTAATTACATTCATTCATAATTTTGCTTTGAATAAAAGTGTACTAAGAAGTACTGATTTTTATAGCACGAAAAAAGCCAAGGTACTGATTTCACACAAAAAAAAATCTGGCAACCCTACTTTAATCACCTCCATGCCGATTCGAACCTGAGATCTCAGAAGCAGAATTAATAGTTTTCACTCGTCGCCACAGCCGACATTTGCGAGGAGAGCAATTAATTGCATTTTAGTTTTAGTTTTGGCAATTCAAAGATAAGTTGTTCGAAATGGTAGGCCGTCGCTTTAACGCATACTATTTAATGAACTGGTTAAGGCGTATTTAACAAGGTGGTGTTGGCCGTATATAAGTAAAAAATTACACTAACAAATTATACGCTGATGTCCATACTGTCATTGGTATGAGTTACAACAAACACATCATTTTGACGTAATGGCCTCCACGGCGAAAAACTCCGCTGTCGCCCCAACACCACCTTGTTTAATACACCTTGGAACTGGTATTTTTACACAAAAATTTTCCAATTTTAAAAACTTTTCATCGAAACTTCAATCAGCCTTTTAAGCAAAACTATCGGTACGCACTTTTGTAACCTATTCGATTTTATACTACATGCTACATGTAATTATTTTTATATGAGAAAAATTGCGAAAGAGCGTCAGTAAAAAAATTTTCAAAAACTCTGATGAAAAGATCATATCGTCCCCTCAATATAACAATAGCGTATAATTTTTTTTGGGTTTTGAGAAAATCGAGTTTAAAGTTTTTGTTTTTTTTTTGTTTGAAGGAAATTTTTGAACAAGAAATTATACACCATTTTTTCCAATGACATTTTGACCCACTTTGTGGAAGTAGAATTTGACGAAATTTTGACCAGACATAGAATCAATGATGGAGATTCTAAATATGCAATAAAAAAATAATGGCGTATGAGCACATACGCTATTGTTATATTGAGGGGACGATATATGTAATACTTCTATATTGGCAGTAAGCTAACTTCTCAATGTGTAAGCATTCCGAAATCAAAGCGAGACAGTCTAGTACCGTTTTTGTCAATGAATTGTGTACTTGAGTGCCGTTTTTGTATATGTGTTGTGTACATGTTTATTTATAAACGTATGTGTTGCTTTTCTTTCGTACGTGTTTATTGATATATCTGTTCTGTAGTGTTTTCGGACGGTATAATAGTATATAAGAGTATTATATATATGGAAAAGATTGGAAATTTTGGTGAAAAGTTTTTAAAATTTGAGTTTTTTTGTTAAATCCATACAAAGTTGGAAACTTTAATATAATAAGAATGAACTATAGTTTTATTAAAAACTACCGAAAAATATTTGTCATGAAAAACATTGTGAATCTTATAAAATATATCAGTCTGTGGAGTTCGTTTACGCTGACTGTGTACGTAGGTTAGGTTAGGTTATCCAGGCTGCCCTCATCCGTACAGGAAAAGGGCACAATTAGGTCTTTATGGGCCCATTGTGATACCATATTTGAGGCTCGTAGCGTCCCTCCTCCTACCTCAGAAATTGAGCCAATCGTAGATACTGGCCGAGTCCAGTTCAGCCAGACACTCGAAAGAATAGCGAAGGAGCGAGCGTCGACGGGCTCTTGCCAAAGCGGGACAGTGACACAGGTAATGCTCCACGCTCTCGATTTCCTCCTAATCGCGGCGGCTACTACAGTAATCATTTGGCTGCAAACCCATCCTGGCAGCGTGGGTTCCCATAAGGCAGTGCCCGGTGAGAATTCCAATAACATGGCGAGCATTGGTCGCTCCAAGCGGAAGAGGGCGAGATCTACGCTTATCTAACCTAGGCCAAATCTGTTTCGCTATCCTGCACGTGGGCTGCGCGACCATCTTACATTTGCCCGTTCGATACAGTTATTCTGCAGACAAAGCCTACGGAGAGAAATGTCATTGAGCAGAGGCTCCGATAGTACCCTCCTAAACACAGTCCAGTCGGTACGTCTCTTGTTTCTATACAGAATCGGAGCCGGAGATTCCAAAGAGATTTCGAATGATAGGTACATATGATCAGAGAATGAATGGTCGTTTAGTACATGCCATTCCCTAATGCTCTCCAAGAAAGAGTTAGACGTTAAGGTCATATCTATTATCTCCTCCCTGTTTGAGGTAACAAAGGTGGGTCTACTACCAATATTACAAATAGCTAGATCATAAGATAGTATGAAGTCAAGTAGTAACTCACCTCTTGGGTTGATGTCGGTAGAACCCCATAACGAGTGGTGCGCGTTTGCATCGGCTCCTACCACGACGGGAAACTTCCTTAAATTGACCTCTTTCACTACGTCCAGTAACCGAGCAGGGGGGCAGTCTTGGCGATCGTGAGCCATATAGGTTGACACCAGCCAGAGTTTGGTGGATTTGCCCTCCACAATGATGCTCATCGTGTCTTCATCGCTAAAATGAGTGAGTAAATTATAAGAAATAGTTTATTAATACACATGCTCTGATCTTACCTGCCACTGGGGCCGACACAATGTGGTAAGCATTAGAGTTAAGTCCGCAGACCCTGTTTTTTACAACCCAGGGCTCTTGGACAAAAGTTAGCTCCTCCCCTTTGTCACTAAGGTGCAGGAGCAGAGCTGCGGAGGCTGCTTTGGAGTGGTGAAGGTTAATTTTAAAGACCTTCATCACAGCCTTTAAGGAGTTGTCGCCATCCATGGATCCTGGCGAGGTCCCTTTGGACACCTCTACCACAGTATCATTAGGGTCCTCCGTTTCCTATGCCAGGAACAGGTTCTCGAAATCCCTCGTCCATTGGCCGAAATCAGACCCGTCTCCAGAAGCCGATTGCGTATCGCTTTCCTATTCTGATGCCGAGTCTGATTCCTCCGCCAGACGAGTGACCACGGGACCCTCCTGGACTTCTTGGCTAGAGGCAGGACCGCTCGAGGCGTTTTCTGCCCTACTCGAAATAAGGCCTTTTTCAGGTGGCAGATTATCGGGTTCACTCGCGGCCTACAAGGGATTTCATCCCTATGCACTGCCACTAAGTCAGCGCCGGGCCACAGTTCCCCAAGCGAAGATATGGCCTCCTTATAGAGCCGAGCCGACCTTTCGCCAGCGTCGCGAATGACAGGAGCAGAGCCAGGATTCCTTTGGAGAATATCCTTATGTGGGGTATAGAGACCTACAAGGACAGTCCAAATGGTCCTTGGCCACATCATTAAATGCCCGAGGGACCCGTGAAGGGTTTGGCGGGCTGTTCTTGCTGGAGGTTTTAGGCCTCTTCGATGGGCCGTGGGCATCATCTACCGATAGCTGCCTTTTGGGTGCCAGTTCCCTGGAAAATGAGGGAGTGGGTTCAGGGTTATTTAAGACACCCTTCTCCTGAGTCCGTTCCCGGCTTTCAGGGAGAATGCCCTTTGCCTTCTCAACCACATCCCTCATATTCTCGGGAAGCGGATTGTCCGCGAATTTCGTCAGCAGCCTGGAAGCGGCTCTTCTGACCCGCTTCGCTCGCACTGCTGGGCGTACTCGCTTAATTGTCCCTGAACCACTGGGACGAGGGTCCTTTTTCGCCAACTGTGACTTGTGGTTGTGGTTGGCATTCCTATTGCCCGTACAGGGCTCCCGGGTGCCAGTAACGCCCCCAACCTGAGCTGCTTTAGAGCTGCCCTCAATGGGTGTGCTCATTGCCGCTCTTGATGAGGACGCCTGGCACGAGAGGTCCATCGGCCGTGTAGGCTCCGTTGCCATCCCAGACGCCAGTCGCTCGCTACCCTCCGAGGGTCTGCAGCTACCAACGCTGGGTTCAATATTCGATTTAAATGGCCGTGAAGGCTTCTTCGGGACCGATCCAGCGGCTACCGAAGATTTATCTTGACAATTTATAACGCCGTGTCCGTCGGCGACATTTTTACCCGTGTAGGGATCCGGGGCTTCATTATTTGTATTCATACTCATCTGCTTCTTTGGTCGCCTGCTGAGCCGTAACCGTTCGTCGAACGTGTATAAAGGTAAGGAGAAAGAACGGTCGGCCACAGCAGAGCCCCGTGCTGCGGTAAGTCCACCGCTACTCCCGGAGGTGGACAGGTATCCGTGAGGCGCCGTTAAAATACAGTCGGAAGAGCCCCCTGACTGCAAACCATCCAATAGGCACGGTGACGCATGACACCCTGGATTAGGGGGGCGTTTTATACCTACCGCCAGGTACGCCCTAGAAATAGCCTAAGTATGCCCCCCCAGCCCCCCTTTGGCGAGCCAAGAAGAGACAGGAGAGTTTATACTTCGGCCTTAGCTAGGCACCGCCTACTTAAAACACTGCGGCGTAGCAGCGGTGCAAGCAGCGATGCCCATTGCCCAGTCGGCACCCGCTTGGAGGATATATCTAGGAGAATTTTTTCCAACCTACTGTGTTCGTATAATGAATAACAAATAACGAACGGTCAAGGTACACTACACAGAACCCACTTTCTAGCAAAAATGACTAAATGCAGCCAAAAATTCGTGACGGATATGTGTGAATACAACTGCTATTTTTACGGAGACTGAACATTTTTAATAATTCTTCATCCTTTAAAAATACCGAACTTCCGTTTTATTGTTATTCATAAAAAGCATTTTCGCAAATAATACACAAAATCCCGACATAAGTACCTAAATGCGAAAAATAAAATACCATTTCACTTGTCAGATTTAGCGCTAGACTTAGTAACAGCTTTTCGTCACGTTAACAACTTTTCGTCACTTTGAGAGTCGACTCTAAATCTTAATATATTTTTTAGGCGTTGAAAGTTTACGACATACAACAATACGACAACGTTGTGAATACCCCAAATATATTGGCGCTTACAAATATATATGTACATAAATATGTTTATGTTTGGCCGAGCTTCTGCTCCGAATTGTGGCGTGCGCTTTGATGTTGTCACACAAAGGGGAGGGATTGTATGTTTATGACAAGCAGAAATACACTCGGACAAGGCCAAAACAATACGAAATCTTTTAAAAAAGATCGAGTCCTTCTGATTCGTACAGAGTTTTGCTTTGCTTTAAACACGCAAAATGTTGTATTCACAGTTTTGAAAAATACTTAAAGGAACCGCCCAATTCTGTGTTTTCTTGATAAATTTTTTTAAAGAGTGGAACTGATTTCATTGTCACATATGAAAAATATGAAATTAAAAACAAAAAAGCTTTTGACTGCCGTAGCCGAGTAGGTGGAGATGTCGACTTGAATTCCGTGTGTCGCAGGTTCAAATGCCAGCACATGCGAGTATTTAATTGTTAGAATCAATTTTATTAATATACAAAATTTATACATTTCACATGAAATTTCAATTTGTCAATAGCATTTTCAATATTGATAATTTATCAAGAAAAGAGCTTTTGCTTTCTATGCTAGAATACCAATTCTTGATAAATAATAAAATCTCCTGTAAAATTTGGGAAAAGGGACTTAGCAACTATTCACTCTAAGCTAGCGATATGTATCAGGGATGTTGCGAATGGTTTACACATTCGCATTCTACATTCGCATTCGCATCAAATGGCTCTAACAGCCCGATTCTGTGCATTTTGGTAAATACAATTTTTTTATAATTTGTAAATTTTTTATTATTTATCAAGAATTGGAATTCTAGCACAGAAATCAAAAGCTCTTTTAAATTATCAAGATTGAAAATGCTATTGACAAATTGAAATTTCATGTGAAATGTATAAATTTTATATATTAAAAATTTGTTTCTATCATTTAAATACTGCATGTGCCGGCATTTGATCCTGGAACACCCAGAATTTATAGCCGGCATCTCTACCTACTCGGCTACGGCAGTCAAAATCTTTTTTGCTTTTGAATTGATATTTTCCATATGTGACAATGAAATAAGTTCCCCTCTTGTGGAAATCGTAGAGCTTTTTATTTTATAAATATCGACACAGAATGCGATGGGAGCTTTTACTTGATACAAATCTTGATACAATTTCCTTTACAAATAATTTATCAAGAAGACACAGAATTGGGCGGTAAGAATGCCTCACCAGGGTGCGGACAATAACTGGCTTTTAGCTTCAGGCGCTCAACGGTTAGGTAGTATATCAAGCAACATTGATGGGCCTCCAACAAGTACTGCTAAAAGTCTTATAAGCAACCTAGACATAATTTTATATTCTTCCAGCGAAAGCGAAGGCTCGGATGTAGAATCTGGAAACATTAAAAAATTTGAAATTAAAGCTCTATTGAAGGCCTGTCTTAAACAAAAACGAGCTCATCTCGGTGAAAATCCTCTCGGTTGGTGGAAAACTAAACTAAAATACGAAAAATTTGCAGATCTGGCGCGCAAATATTTGAGCGCTCCACCCGCCAGCGTTCCAAGTGAGCCGGCCTTATATACGAGCTTCTAAGAAATCACCTCATTGGAGAAAAGGCAGCCAAATTCCTGTTTTGAAATATAATATGCCCCTTTTGAACTTTGACTACATACTACATTAAAACACTGTATAGGTTAAGCACTCGTTCAATGTTCTAATTATTTACAAAATTTTTAATCAATAAAAACGATGCCTAAGTTGATTATAGTTTTTTTAATGTTATTCCTAACATTCGCTTTCGCGAATGTGAAAAATATGACATTCGAAACATCCCTAATATGTATTTGTTATGATCCTAAAATAAATTCCCTAATGAAATATGATGAAATTTCACAATAACAAAAAGGAAATGTTTGTACATGCAGCAGTGTATTTATAGCATTCATTTAAGCGCTTGGTGTAAGTAGTCGCGCCTAAACAAATGCAAAACTACATTTTTCCAGTAATTACTGGAGCATCAATAAAAAGATTGGTAAACAAACTTGCATTTAAGCATAAAATAAGAAAGGTAAATATTTTTGGTAATGCGGCGTTGTATTTATTTACTAAAAAATATCTCAGTAATATCGTCATCAATCTCTATTAATTTCGGTAGACGCGTTGCTTTCGGCGAAAATTTTAACTGCATTTAAAAAAACGAAATCCCGGCTTTAAAACAAACATAAACACATGATGCTACACGATAAGGTACTTTAAAGTTCAATGTCAAAGTTGCGATGTTTCTAAAAAATGCAAAAACTAAAATTTTTTAGTAGGTACTGCAGTTTAATTACTAACAATTGGTTAAAAATTGCATTTAAGCATAAAATAAGATAATTACAAATTGTTGTCTGAAGCTTTAAACAAATTAAAAATTTTTTAACTATGTAGTATAAAGCACTAGAAAGGGATTTGTGAATTTTATTTAAAAATATGCCTTACTGCTGATGTTAGCTGCACAAAATACTTTAATCTTTAAAGTCCGATAATGCAAAGTCGGTTGTTAAACTTTGTATTATACATACATAGGTTTTTATACGCAAATCACTAATCACGCTTTTGTCGTAGAATGACATTGCAGCTCGTAACAAAGAAATATGACTTTATGAACAAATGCCTGTAACAAAAAGCGGGTTTCCGTCCATACCAAATGTGTGCGCTTCTTTTATACCTGCTCAAGTGCGTTTTTTTACCCAAGGCTGTCTCACCTTGTTCATAAGGAACCTGAACGAAATTTGCATTATATTTAAATACATACCTACATATCTACATACAAATATACTTTCCAGTAAACATATGAATACTAATTTATATTTTTCCCTTTCCCTTCTCCAAACGCACAGCCTTTGGATCGTGATCAACCAAACGGACGACCGCAATGGCGCTTTACAGTTTTCGCTCAGGACGAAGGTGGCGAGGGACTAGTGGGCTATGCTGACGTACAAGTTAATTTGAAGGACATCAACGATAACGCCCCAAACTTTCCCCAAGGCGTCTACTTTGGCAACGTCACCGAGAACGGCACTGCTGGCATGGTGGTGATGACAATGACAGCTGTAGACTATGATGATCCGAATGAAGGATCAAATGCGAAACTTGTATATTCCATTGAGAAGAATGTGATTGAAGAGGAAACTGGTTCACCGATATTTGAAATAGAACCAGACACAGGCGTCATCAAGACTGCCGTATGCTGTTTGGATCGTGAGCGCACACCGGACTATTCAATACAAGTAGTAGCGATGGATGGCGGGGGGTTAAAGGGCACGGGGACGGCTTCAATACGTGTAAAAGATATCAACGATATGCCGCCGCAGTTTACGAAAGACGAGTGGTTCACCGAAGTTGATGAAACGGATGGCACGTCTTTGCCCGAGATGCCTATACTCACAGTAACTGTGCACGATGAGGATGAAACAAACAAATTTCAATACAAAGTTATCGACAACAGTGGTTATGGCGCCGATAAGTTTACAATGGTGCGCAACAATGATGGCACAGGTTCGCTGAAAATCGTGCAACCTCTGGATTACGAAGACCAACTACAGAGCAATGGCTTCCGCTTCCGCATACAAGTCAATGATAAGGGTGAAGACAACGACAACGACAAATACCATGTAGCCTACTCATGGGTTGTGGTAAAATTGCGCGACATCAACGACAATAAACCGCACTTTGAACGTGCCAATGTAGAAGTATCCGTATTTGAAGACACCAAAGTCGGCACAGAGCTGGAGAAATTTAAGGCCACCGACCCCGATCAGGGTGGCAAGAGTAAAGTCTCATACTCGATCGATCGTTCCTCAGATCGGCAGCGGCAATTTGCCATCAATCAAAATGGTTCTGTGACAATACAACGGTCGCTAGATCGCGAAGTAGTGCCGCGACACCAAGTTAAAATATTAGCAATTGATGACGGTTCACCACCAAAAACGGCTACAGCCACTCTTACGGTGATTGTGCAGGATATAAACGATAATGCACCGAAATTCTTGAAGGACTACCGGCCGGTATTGCCAGAGCATGTGCCCCCAAGGAAAGTGGTCGAAATATTGGCTACAGACGATGATGATCGCTCGAAAAGTAATGGGCCACCATTCCAATTTAGGTTGGACCCCAGTGCCGATGATATTATAAGGGCATCTTTCAAAGTGGAACAGGACCAAAGTGAGTGAAGTGTTTTTATTTAGCTAAAAATACAATTTTTTGTTAGGTTGTTTAGTCAGTCAGTCCATCAGTGCCTATTTTAATGCCTTCTTCCTTCCTTTTTATTGGGGTAAGTCAGATAATTTCCTAAAATGTAAAAAAACTATATCTTGCTAAAGTTATCACAGAGACTAGAATTTTTAATGCTGTAAATCAATTGTGTATCGTATGTGCTTCAGATTCTCTGACAACACAAAGTAAATGGAAGAAGCCATGGCGCAATAAACAAGTGAAGTAATAAAACAGCTGTCCCGCTTTATTTTCTGACATTCGACTGCCTTATAGTCAAAATTTATAAGCAAATTGTCAAACAAGGCAGTGCCAAAATATTTCTCCTCGTTCTAGTTACTTCACCAATGTATAATAGCACGCCAAAATTGAACTTAACTTTTTAAACAGGTGTCTACCCTCTTCAAAAACCTTATGTTAGCTAGAGGTATAAGCGATCCGTGTTCCAAATTTCATCTTAAGAGATGTCTGGCATGGTGTCGCGACATGTCTGTGCTTCATTTCATCAAATTTCCAAGACGCTGCTAAAAAAGTTGTAATTTAAAAAAATAAATCTGACATATATGACTTTTCGAATAGGTGGCAACCATTATCGAAATTATTTCCAAACTAGAGCTTTCTTAAGAGTATTTCATTTGACACCAGGTATGCCAACTCATTTTATTTTTCTCGCCGTTGGTCTCCACGAAATTCCCCGATTTTCGGTGAAATTCCCCGCACTGGCATAATTCGATAAAAAAAACTTGAATTTTTTAATTCAATTGCTTGAATTTTTACGAATGTACTTACTATATTTAATTGTTAAATTTTTTCACTAATTTCTTATAAAGCTATATCTTATTGTATAACAGACGACATATGTACATATAAATCAAAAATTAAAACTTTGGACAAAACTCACAAAAATATAACAAATTCAAAAAAAACATTGCATACAAATTTTCAACTTTTTACTCGGAATTTATAGAAGTAAATTTTTAATTTAAGTATAATAATGCGCACGTTTCGAGTGGCAAAAATTTACCGTTGGTTTTTGATAATTTTTTTTTATGCTGGAGTTTACGCACTTCCTTCCACTCGGCTCACTTGAATTTAAATACAGATTGAGATTAGACATATATATGTATGTATATATTATTATTATTTATTATTATTTAATGTTAAATAGCTAATGAAAATATCATAATTTCATATATAATAAATGAATAAATAATTGCATTATTTAATATGTATATCTATACATATAATAAAATTGTAACAGGCCGATGTCTGTACATTATAGATATTAAAGAAACACTAATATGGAGGGTCTTTGTTAGAGCAATAGAAGCCAAATCAACCATTTCTAGAATTTTTGTCTGTCTGTCGTCTGTATGTATGTTTGTACGCGTATCACTCCAAAACGAATACAGGGAATTGAATGCGGTTGAATTGCTAGAGGTCTAACTTAAAACATAGAAAGAAAAAAGTTTGAAAGTTGCCACCTGTTCGAAAATTGCAGGTTAAGTAAATTGATAAGAAAATGTGAATATTGCAATATGGCCGTCAAAAGAAAGAGGATTAAGAAGCCTTACAGTCGAAAATATCTTTTGAGGGTTGCCAGCTGTTTGAAAATTTTAATTTAATTTAATTTATAGGTCAAATTGAATATTGCAATATGGGTATCAAACTGAAGAGGTCTACGAAATTTTACTGCCGAAAGTATTTTTTAGGAGGGTTGCCAGCTGTTTGAAAAATTTTATTGAATTAAATTTATAAAATAAATGAAATCTACATCTGTACTTATAATAAAATTGTAGCAGGCCGATGTCTGTACCTGATAGATATTAAAGAAAAATGAATGTGTAGGGTCTTTATTAGAGCTACAGAAGCCAAATAAACGCTTTTTAGAATTTACGTCTGTCTGTCTGTCTGTATATTTGTGCGCGCATAACTCGAAAACTAATGCATGAAATCGAATTAAGTTTTCACCTATGTATCGCTAGAGGTCTAACTTACAATATAGAAGAAAAAATTAGAGAGTTGCCACCTGTTTGAAAATTTCAGTTTAAGTAAATTGATACGCCACCTGTTTTAAAACTTTTATTTAGTTGAATTGATAACATAAATAAATAAATATTTTTAGGGGATCTGCCACCTGTTTGAAAAATTTTGTTCATTTAAATTGGTAAAATAAATGAAATATTGCAATACGGATATTACACTAAAAAGGTTTAGGAAGCTTACTTTCGAAAATATTTTTGAAGCGGATTGCCACCTATTTGAAAAATTTAATTCAGTTAAATTGATAAGATAACCTAAATGTTGCCATATGGGTATCAAACGAAGGTATTTGAGAATAATAAAATTGTAACAGGCCGATATCTGTGCATAATAGATATTAATGAAAAATTAATAGGGGGTTTATTAGAGGGCCATTCCATTGTGACTGCCGGGACATTTTACTCGAGAATGTGATCAATTGTGAACTATTTCTAAGTCATCGGAACGTACACAACAGCGAAAGATTTTTTTTTAACACCAAATCAAACGATTTCTTAGTTCTATGTAGCTATCATTTGAATGAATGTGACTGGTGGGACACTGAAAATAACTCTATTTGACCTTTGTGCACTCAGAGATGAATTGTAGCCAAAAAAACACTTAGTTTTCACAAACGATTTTTTTTGTGTTATGAAATATGAATTATACGCTTTGGTTTTCATTAAAATTTAGGCTTATATAATCTTCATAGAAATATTAAAAAATATTTAAATTTGTAACTGGTGGGACATGTCCTTGTGATTGGTGTAAAATAATTATGCATGAAATAGAAGTTTCCATAGACAAAAATTACAATTTCTTTTTACTTTTTTAATATTTTTCAACAGATTAATGAAATGTTGTCATTGAAAAGGAGTTTACCACTGAAATAGAGATAATTAGGGCATTTAAACATTTATGTCGTTTTCCTGTTTACAAGAAATGACCCTAGATCAACAAAAGCAAAATCAACAATTTTTAGAATTTTGGTCTGCCTGTCTGTCTGTATAGCAACATGTTTGTAAGCGCATCGCGCAAAAACTTCTGTATAGAATTAAAGGCAGTTTTTACCAATGTACATATTGTTGGAATCTAACTGAAAATATAAAATCCTTTTTTTTTCAGTTTATCATCGATATCTATTCCTAGGAGTTTGGATGTATTAACTTTTTCCAGTGCTTTGTTGTTTATATCTAGAGTTAGCGCCGCACTGTTCTAAAAATTTCGACTTGATATAACCACAAATTTAGTTTTATTTACATTCAATCCATGTGTTCAATGATAACCAATCGCACTTCTTTGGAACTATTGTGTGGGACGTTTTTCGCTAAAAAAAATCAAAACTTTTTGTCGTTTCTGCCAAAAAAATTTAGAAATCTGAGAAGTCACGTTTTTACAATTTCATATCGTTTTCTGTACATTGTATTTCACTAAACTAATAAACGGCTACAACAATTTGGTTCATATTTGGAACATATGCCAGCACCTTGAAAATAAATATTCCGACCAAAAATTTACTCGGTATGTGGCGCAGGGGTCGGGATATTCCAAAAATTCTTATACAAACTAAAACGTAAAAAAACAATTTATCCCTAAAAGTCCATAAAGCTAATCTCTGGAACCGCTTATGTTAACGTCCTGAAATTCGACTACATATCGTCGCTACCATGTAAAACTATCGACTGTACTTTTCAGGAGAGCAAAGAAACTGTTGTAAAATGTTTTTGTCATTAGAAAAAGTGTGGGATTCGACACTCTGCTTCTAAGAAGACTAGAATTTCGACGATTTGCCAACTTGCGTATCATTCTAAACGCATACGCAAGGTATCCTAAATGAAGAAGCATTCTTGCATATCCGATAGTTTGTTATCAATACCGTACTTATGGCGAAAAGTCGTAAATATTTGAAAAGCTGCATCTATATGCATTTACGTAAACGGGCAAGTATCATTCGATTTGGAGCCATTTTCTCCTAGATTTATAAATCCCCCTAAGTTATTGTAACTTTGTTTTTAATTTTTGGTGAAGGTAAAAATTGTGAAAATTTTTAAGATTTTTTTTTAAATTCTGCACAAAGTTTAGAGCTTTGATTTTTACGAGTTTCGTTATAGACAGTCCTATCCTCATACCTATATACATACATAAAATGCTAGCTGTTTCCGATGTTCGGACTACTTATTTCCAAAATTCCAAGGAAAGCAACTTCCTCGAAAACATTGGGAAAACTTCAGACTTCTACCGCGCAAAAATTTAACATTGAAAATGATGGCTTCATGAGATATTGTGCCAGACTCACCTCTTCTCCCATAGAGGGATTCACAGATTTGGCCCTCGAAATAAAAGAAAAAACTATTGACAATCTCTGGGCACGGTTACAAGCCGCATATGACTCAGTTTTTTTAAAGGATGATGAAGACCTTCCAGATAATTTTTTGGCGTTGGCAGAAGGCAAGTATCAATTTAGTATTGATACTTATGAAACGACTAAAGCGAAGATCTTAGTTCAACTCAAATTGATCCGAGCTATAAGTCCCCCAAGCTCTCACTCCCGAGAAGCACAGAATTCACACATAGAGGAAAATCCTCACATGCATCTGCATCTCCCGCCATGTGATACAGAGATTTTCCACGGTGGTTATGAAGAATGGCAATCTTTCCGAGATATGTTTACAGCCGTCTACATAAACCACCCCCAATTATCATCCGCTCAGAAATTATACCACCTCCGGTATAAAACAAAAGGGCAAGCCGGTCAAATCGTCAAGCAGTTCCCTCTTAGCGACGTGAATTTTGATCTGGCATGGCAAGCATTAAGCGAACGTTAGACAATAAACGCATATTAGTGGATAACCAAATCCAAGTTTCACGAAGAAAATAGTGAACAGATCATTAATCTCCAAAGCAAAATAAAAACATGTCTGTCCATTTTA